TCCTTGTGGTCAACCTTCCCCGTCTCCAGCACGAAATACAATAGTCAACAGCCCCCGTGCCCAACACATCACCAAATACTCAGCAGCTTTCGTACCCACCACAACGCTTTTTACTCAACAGGTCCCCGCTGCAAGACACCCTCAACAATTCTATTAAAATCCCGATCCCGCCCGCCGCCCGCCGCCCGCCCGCCAACAACCCCCGCTCTCGTTGTGTTCAGCTTTTTCTGTGTCCAACACAGCAGCCAGTACTTAACAGCCGCCGTGCCCAACACAGCATCCCGTACTCACCAGGTTCCTGGTGAAAAACACCCTCCCTAGGAGTTCCAATCTAATCCCGATCCCGCCCGCCGCCCGCCGCCCGCCCGCGCGCCCTCCCGCCGCCCGCCCCCGCCGTCATCGTGCTCAACTCTCTCTGTCCAACACAGAACACAATACTGAATAGCCTCCGTGTCCTACAAAATACCCAGTACGCAACAGCCCCCGTGCCCAACACACCACCTTGTACTCAACAAGCACACGCTGCAAGACACCCTCCGTAGGAGTTCTATCAAACTCCTGGTCCCGCCCGCCGCCCGCCGCCCGCCCGCGCGCCCGCCCGCCGCCCAGCCCCGCTTTCTTTGTGTCAACGCTCTCCGTGTCCAACAAAGAACACAATACTCAACAGCCCCCGCGTGCAACACAACACCCAGTACTCAACAGCCTCCGTGTCCAACACAACACCATGTACTCAACAGGTCCCCGCTGCAAGACAACCCTTAGGAGTTGTAATAAAATCCCGCCCGCCGCCCGCCGCACAGGTGCGCGCCCGCCCGCCGCCCGCCCCGGCTCTCCTTGTGCTCATTTTTTTTGCGCCCAACACAACACCCAATACTTAACAGCCTCCGCGTCCTACAAAGCACCCAATACTCAATAACCCCTGTGCCCATCACAACACCTTGTAATCAACAGGCCCCCGCTGCAACACACCCTCCATTAGGAGTTCTATCAAAATCCCGATCCCGCCCGCCGCCCGCCGCCCGCCTGCGCGCCCGCCCGCCAACAACCTCCGCTCTCCTTGTGTTCAGCTTTTCTGTGCCCAACACAACAGCCAAAACTGAACAGCCTCCGCGCCCAACACATCACCGCGTACTCAACAGCCTCCGTGCCCAACACAACGTCGTGTACTCAACACGTTCACGCTGAAAGACACCCTCCCTAGGAGTTCCATTAATTTCCCGATCCCGCCCGCGCCCGCCGCCCGACTGCCCGCCGCCCGCCTCCGCTCTCATCGTGCTCAAGTCGATGTGTCCAACGCAAAACACAATCCTCAACAGCCTCCGCGTCCTACACAACAACCAGTACGCAACAGCCTCCGTGCCCAACGCAACACCTTGTACTCCACAGGCTCCCGCTGCAAGACACCCTCCTTAGGAGTTCGATTCAAATCCCGATCCCGCCCGCCGCTCGCCGCCCGCCGCCCGCGCGCCCGCCCGCCGCCCGCCCCCGCTCTCTTTGTGTCAACGCTCTCCGTGCCCAACACAGAGAACACAATACTCAACAGCCTCCGCGCGCAATTCAACACCCTGTACTCAACAGCCTCCGTGCCCAACACAACACCCTGTACTCAACAGGTTCCCGCTGCAAGACACACTCCTTAGCAGTTCCAGTAAAATCCCGATACCGCCCGCCGCCCGCCGCCCGCCCCCGTTTTCATCGTGTTCAACTCTCTCTGTGTCCAAAACAAGACCCAATAGTCAACAGCCTCTGTGTCCAACACAACACCCAGTACTCAACAGCCTCCGCGCCCAAAACACCACCTTGTACTCCACAGGCTCCCGCTGCGAGACACCATTCTTAGGAGTTCGATTCACATCCCGATCCCGCCCGCCGCCCGCCGCCCGCCCGCGCGCCCGCCCGCCGCCCGCCCCCGCTTTCCTTGTGTCAACGCTCTCCGTGTCCAACACAGAACACAAAACCCAACAGCCTCCGTGCCAACACAACACCCTGTACTCAACAGCGTCCGCGTCCAACACAACACCCTGTACTCAACAGGTCCCCGCTGCAAGACACCGTCCTTAGGAATTCTATTAAAATCCCGCCCGCCGCCCGCTGCCCACGCGCGCGCCCGCCCGCCGCCCGCCCCCGCTCCTTGTGTTCAACTCTCTCTGTGTCCAGCACAAGACCCAATACTCAACAGCTTCCGTGTCCAACACAACACCCAGTACTGAACAGCCTCCGCGTCCATCACACACCCCTCTACTCAACAGGTTCCCGCTGCAAGACACCCTCCTTAGGAGTTCGATTCAAATCCCGATCCCGCCCGCCGCCCGCCGCCCGCCCGCGCGTCGCCCGCCCTCGCTCTCCGTATCCAACACAACACCCAAGAAGGGGGGAGGGAGGGAAGGAGAGAGAGAGAGAGAGAAGGAGAGAGAGAGAGAGAGGCGGGGGGGAGAGAGGCCCCTCAAGACGGCCCCTCCGAAGGCGTCAGACCGGTGAAGAGCCCCCTGAGACGGCCCAAGTCGGCCCCCAGAAGACACGACCCTCTCCCCAGGGTCAGTTTCTCATCCGGGATCGTTTTTAGACGGTCGTGGGGCTCAGAACGGGGATCTGGAGGCCGAAAACTGGCCGCGCCACGCGAAAGACACGTGGTTCAGCTCGGGTTAACAATGTTAGATAACCCCCTGTGGCCTGGACGCGTGAAAACGCGTGTTTTGAGCTCGGAACCGCCATGCGGCGTGGACACATGAAAGCACGTGGTTCCAGCTCGGAACCACCATGATAGATACCCCCCTGGATGGCCAAGACACTTGAAAACACATGGCTCCAGCTCGGGACCGCCATGCTAGAGGCCCTCCTGGTGTGGCCTGAACACGTGAAACATCGTGTTCCGGCTAGGGGTAACCGTGTTAGATACCCCGCTGGGCGGCCTAGGCACGCAAAAACACATGACTCCAGCTCGGGAATTCCATGTTAGATACCCCCGTGGGTGGCCTGGACACGTGAAAACACGTGGTTCCAACTCGGGGCACACATGCTGGATACCACATTGGGTGGCCTGGACACATGAAAAAGACATGGCTCCAGCTGGGGACTACCATGTTAAATATCCCCCTACATGATCATTCCCTGTCATACTCATAATTAACATGAGCACTCGTCATCAACACCATCATCATCATCAACATCATCATCACACTCAAACATATGTGGCTCGAGGTCTCTGGTGCGCCCTTCCCTGAAACCCTTCCGCATCCCCCGTGTCCAACACAACACCCAGTACTCAACAGCCTCCGTGTCCCACAAAACACCGTACTCAACATACTCCCGCTGAAAGACACCCTCCTTAGGAGTTCAATTAAAATCCCGATTCCGCCCGCCGCCCGCCCGCGCTCTCCTTGTGCTCAGCTCTGTCTGTGTCCAAAACAACACCCAGTACTGAACAGCCTCCGTGTCCTACAAAACACCCAGTACTCAACAACCTCCGTGCCCAACACAACACCTTGTACTCAACAGGCTCCCGCTGCAAGACACCCTCCTTAGGAGTTCTATTAAAATCCCGGTCCCGCCCGCCGCCCGCCGCCCGCCCGCGCGCCCGCCCGCCGCCCACTCGCGCCCCCGCCCAATGCATGCCAACGCATTCCAAAGCATGCAACTGCATGCCGAAGCATACCCATCCATGCCAATGCATGCCAAGGCATGCCAACGCATGCCAATGCGTGCCAATGCATGCCAATGCATGCCAACGCATGCCAATGCATGCCAATGCATGCAAATACATGCCAACGCATGCGAATGCATGCCAATGCGCTGGCATGCATTAGCATGATTTGGCATCCCATGACATGCATTGGCTTGCGTTGGCATGCATTGGCCGCCGCCGTCGTCATCGTCGTCGTCGCCGTCGTCGTCGCCACCGCAGTCGTCGTCGTCGTCGCCGTCATCATCAATATGACCGCGAGACGTCAAGCTCTGGCGCCTGCCCAGCAGTCCCCTAGGGGCGAGATCCCCAGGCCCACGCCGGAGCCCCCCTTCGGCGGGGCCCCCTCCCCCCCTCCTCCGCCCCCCTCCCCCACAAGCCTCGAGGGGGGAAAAAAAACCCGAGGGAAAAAATGAAAACCTCGAGGCCCCCGGGGGGGAACAAAAAAGCCTCGAGGGGGGAGAAAAAAAAAGAAAAGCATCCGAAGAAAAAAATAAAAGCCTCGGGCCCCCCGCCCCCCCCCCCCCACCCCCCCCTCCCCTGGGGGAAAAAACAGCCTCGAGGGGGGAACAAAAAAAGCCTCCGAGGGGAGAACAAAAAAAAGCCTCGAGGCCCACGCCCCCCCCGCCGCCCCCCCCTCAGGGGGAAAAGAAAAGGCCCCCCCAGACCCCCGAAGCTCCCCTGGGGGGGGGCGGAAAGAAAAGCCTCGGGGGGGAGAAAAAAAGCCAAGCCCGTCCCGTTCGCCCCCGAAGGAGGACGGGAAAGGTGAAGCCACTCGATCATTGAAGTAGGAAGGCGCTTAAAGTAGATTGGATCTACAGTACGGGCTCGGTCGCAAGAAACCCTCGCAAGAAATCCAACCCCTGAAAACCTGCGCGTAAGGTACACCTGAGGAGAAACCCAGAGCACTCTGAACGCAGCAGCTTCTTTCACGGCCGCGGGACGCCACCGCGCAGCACGAGGATCGAAGAAACCCAGGGTACCCTGGCGAGCAGCATCTGGTTTCTTGCTGAACGCCTCCACTGTACCTACTTTCAGCGACCGATGATACATCTGACGACCGTTGAACTGAGAAATCAAGCGGATTCCGCCATGTTGATCATGTCGGGAGCGGCCAAGAGGGGGGTGTCCAAGAGGGGGGGGTGCAAATCATGACCGGCGGCATGTGCGCGGCCCAGCGGGGGGGCCAGGTACGTAATGAAAACAGAAGAGGCGCCATGAAATCTGAGGAAAAATCATGGCCCGCGCCATGAAATCCACCCCCCCCTTGTCATCACCCCCCTCTTTTCCACCCCCGATCATGGTGTCCCAAGGCAGCGACGCTCTCACCGGTCTTCGCAGACGTCTCCATGAAGAGCAGGTCGTTCTCGTCGCAGTACTGCTGGCACGGAGGCGCCGGCCCCGGCCGCGCGGCATGCTTCAGCGACTCTACGACGCGCTCGTCGCATGCACTTGCCGCCGCTCGCACGTCCAGTTCCCGTGCATGTTTGGGTATCGTGCGTGTTTTTTTGGCTCGATGGTCCAGGATGGTCCTCGATGGTTCTCGCCGAGAACAAATGCACGCGTCCGAGCGATGCCAAGTGCAATATTCCTGACATTGAAGACTGAAAAACCGAAGACTGAACACAACGGACAAAAAACCATGCAACAAAACCCAGAACAAAACAACCTTTGAGTATTCAGGGGGTGTTCACCATCTTGAAACCTAGTTTCTATAACATCGGATGCACAAAACAACCTGCCTGTGCCCGCGTCCGTCACCATCCCTCTGCGTTCCATGAGCGCGAGGCGAGAACCCTCCTCCGAATCAGCAGTCTCGCGCGCTGACCCCTGCTCACGCCTGCCCACGCTCACAGAATGATTTGGAGTCCCGAAACGGTGCGGTGACGGACGCACCGTGGAGTGACCTCGAAATCCCCCAAGACCTCACCGCACGCTCCCTCACCGCACGGTCTTGGGACCCCAGAGGCCCCTGTCGCCCGAGACATCCTCGGAGGGGGCCTCGAGTCCCAAAACCGTGCGGTGCGGTGATCCCGAATCCCTCTGCTCGTTTTCCCCAATTTGTTGTGCATGTGCACGAATTATCTGGCTCTGTGCCCCAGTTTGCCTGATTGACACGGCCTCTGGACTTTTCCTTGCGGGCCGCAGAACAAAAAAGATCCCGAATCCCCACCGACTCACCACACGTTGTGGTCACCACACCGTTTGGGGGCCCCCGAAAGGATGGGCAACCCGACAGACGGACCGGGGGACAGACGCACGACAAGCAGGCGGACAGGCAGACAGACGGACGGGCACGCAACCGGTTAATCGAACAGGGGAAGGCCGGCCAGCAAACCGTCCGGCATGCAAAGCAACCAAGAAGACTGGCTGGCAGACAAGCAGGAAGAGCAGAGAGACTTTTTGTTCGACACGAATGGCTCCCCGACCCTCTCGTCCGTAAGAGGGCGGCCTACAGGAGTTCGCATGAAAATCGAGCCAAAGCGTGCTGCGTCGAATAGGCCAGCCGCCGATCCGCTGCCAACATGGTGTGCTGTCCGGCATCGGAACACATTAAATAATTACATACTGAGGCGTTCATTTTAGCAATGGGGGCTTGTTGAGCCGTCTAAAAGGATATCCTGAGATGCATGTGTTTGGTCCGCCAGACTCGCACGAAGCTCTACTTACACACTCGGTGGAGGTAGCGCGTATGCGCATGACGACATGCAGTCTCTCTGCCGGCAGCAGTGGTTGCGTGTATCATGTAGGCGGAACTTGTTGGGGGCCTCCGCAACAAGAAGCGCGTATTCAGATGCTATCATTGTCGGAAGGACCCTTTCCAATCCATAAACATCTAGGCAAGCCGTCTGATTACGACAGTTTGAATCGTAACTATATTCCAAAATCGCCAGCCACCGAGATATAGCGGCGAATAGACATGGGTTTCGCAACAGCGGTGCTGAGCGGGCCCAGAAAGCAGTTCCCGCAACAATCGCCCACTTGTCACGGGGAGGAAGGGCAACGTGATTGTCATACAGAAAACCCCAAGCTCGTCTCATCCAAGCGCCCCCCGCATTCTCTCGAAATGAATAGCCGGCCAGATGGTCAAACGAGTCTTGGACTTTAACAGGATCGACCATATCGTCATACCGCCATGTCAGGGCCCATGGCCCCAATATGCCCAAATCTCGCTGATGGTCAAGCCTATCCAATCCGCCGACCCCGGAGGCGTGTGCGATATCCGTTTGAGCTGGATACCACACCCGACAATTTCTCGCCCGAAATCTCCCCCGAAACCACAATCGACCAACACCCCCCTCCATGCCCCGGCACCCACCCCACCATTTTTCGCCCAAAACCGACCGATACCCCCCACCGCGCCCCGGCATCCTCACCCCATGGAGCCTCTGTTCTTGGGGCCCCCCACCCCACCATTTCTCGCCCAAAACCAACCGATACCCCCCACCACGCCCCGGCATCCCCACCCCATGGAGCCTCTGTTCTTGGACCTCCAACCTACGAGTTTTCGCCCAAAACCGACCGATACCCTCCACCACGCATCGGCACCCCCACCCCATGGACCCTGTTCTTGGGGTCCCCCACCCCACCTTTTTTCGCCCCAAACCGACCGATACCCTCCACCACGCCCCGGCATCCCCACCCCATGGAGCCTCTGCTCTTCGGACCCCCCCACCCTACAATTTTCCGCCCACA